TCATATCACTTATGAGTAAAAAGGTTTTATACAAGAAACTATAAATTGAGAATTTCACTACAGACATTTTATTCTTTTAAAAAAACTTTCAAAACAGGTGGATAATAATAATAATCTCTCGAGCATATGTTGGACTATTTTAAAAATTACTACTAAAATCATTTAAAATCATTCTGCACTTCCGCTCATAAATGCTCAAAATCAATACTTTTAAAAACTCTCCTAACTACTACCCCGAAACTCCCAACCAGGGCCTTAGATTTGGGTCTTCAAAGACTTTTTGTATTGGTCTGGTTAAATAATCTCTGAATTGGTTACTGGGGTCCAACCCAACGATATTGAAGGTGTGCTTGAGAGTTTTGACGTACTTGTTATGAGCGTTTTTTAAAGTACCAATTTTAAATAATCTCTGAATTGGTTAATGGGGTCTAACCCAACGGTACTGAAGGTGTGCTTGGGAGTTTTGACGTACTGGTTATGAGCTTTTTTAAAGTACCAATTTTAAACGTTTATGAACAGATATATTTTAAGGGGTTTTGGTAGCAATTTTTAAAATTGTTCAACATATGCTTGAAAGTTTATTATTCACCGATTCTTAATATTTTTTAAAAGAATAAATACATATATGTCATTTAGTAAAAGTTTTAATTTATGAAATCTTTTTACTTTATTTTACTTATAAATATTTTTTTAGATGTAAATTTATATTTAACTAAAAAACTTAAATAATGTTAAATATTTACTTCAATTTCAAGTTAATATTTTTTACTTATAAGTTAATTTTCCAACTATAAGTTAATTCTATACTTTTAAATAATTTCAAGTGATTTTTTTACTTATAATTAACTTTTTTATATTTTATAAGTGAAATTTTGTTTTATTATTAGTATTTTTATTTTATATATTTTTTTACATAAAAGAAATTTTTTACTTATAAGTAATATTTTAAAGTATTTTTTAATCATAATTAATTTCTTTTACTTATAAATAATTTTTCACTTGATGTATTTTTATTTATTAGTTAGCTTTTATACCCTTTGGTGCCCAAGAAACTGCCGAGCACACATTTTTCCACCGAGTCTCATGAACTCTGCCATCCAAAACCGGTGAAAAAAAATACTCCCAAGCGGCCCTGAAGGAACGCTTCCAACCTCCGACCATCTTCTCATGCGACTATTATATTCTGTACTTCTGTCGCACAAGACGGCGAACTGAAGATTGCCAACTGGAAACCGGGAATCCCACATTTTGTACCTAAACTTGTCGAACAAAAAAGCTCATTTTTTATCGCTAAAGTGTGTTGTTCTGTGGGCGTTCCTCCGACACTTCACTCTCCAACTCACCAAATTCCCGTGGTCACTTAATTAATTCCACAGGTAAAGATTTTTTCTTTTATTTTTATCTATCGTTTTGAAGGATTGAGAATGTGGGTTTTGTTTTTTCGGTGAGATTCCCTTTGCTATTTTTCTGAAAATTATATAGTTCCGCTGAAGAATATTGTTTAATTGCTAGATGGGAATGATTGATTTTGATGTATTTTCCTTTCTATAATTTTTTTAATTCTTGAGGTTTTAATGAAACTTGAGTTGATTGTTTAGCAATGAAGAACACAATTGCAGTAATTTCTGTTTCTCCACTTTTTCACTCAGGTTTTTATTTGTGTTTCCCAGGAATCAAACAAAAGGAACTCATATTTGGAAAACTTTTTTTCCCACTGACTTAGTTAAAACCATTCAAGTTTAATTTCAATTGTTTTTAATTTTTTTTTCCTTTTCTTTGCATTTACTGTACTCGACGAACTTGCTGGGTGCATCACTATCAACAGGAAAAACTTATAAGGCAGGTTTCATGTAGGTTTTTAGAGGATAAATTTCGTGAGAATTGATTTTTTTGGAGACTGTATGATTAAATGTAGGGAAAAGTTGTTGGTCCATGTGCAATATTATTTAGGGAGTATTTGAGCCACATTATTTTGGAAGAATGTATTCTAGAATAGTAGATTGATGGAGAATGTGTGGTTGAAAAAGAAGGAAAAGTTATTGATGTGATGTAAAATATTATTTTATTGAAAAATGTGTGGTTGAAATGAGTAGAAAAATGAGAATGAAAATTTTAATGTGTACCAAAGAATGAAGATGAAAATTTTAATGTGTACCAAACAGGGGCTTAATTTGGAGAATATGTGGTTGAAAATTTGGGGAAAATGAATTTTAAAGAACTTGAACCAAAAGTGAGTTTATGATCCATTGTCATTCCAATTCTTATTTACCCCACCTAAAACCGTCCACCCATAGCCATTCTTAAAATTTGGTGTTATATATATATGAGCCTATGAGTGTGTGTCAGTAAATTTTTCTCTTTATATTTTTGATTATTTTGGGAAAACCATTTTATTGTTTCTATTTGCCGTAAATTTAGGAACGTTGATATGGGGTTTGAGTTGGATCCTTTGGACGATATATTTGCTGAAGACACTGCGAAAAACGGTAAAAGGAATTCTATTTGTTTAATGTGCTTGCTGCTTTTATGGTTCTTGAGTTGCTAATTCGAACACAAACAAAGCTGCAGCCCGGGTCTGTGGTAAGTTTCAGCCTAAAGCAAAGCAGAGACCATCAAGAAAGGACTCAGCTGCAACATCATCTTCTTCCCCACAGCCAGTCCCAACCAGTGATGTCATTGAGCGGGAATCAAGTGTGATTCTCAATCCTGATAAGCCTTCAGAGCACTGTGATTTATTTTTTATTTTTTTAATTATTAAGTATATGAGAATCAATCATCTAATAATGCTATAATTTTCAAAAACTAGGAATAACATTTATAGGTATACCGGTTTCTTATATTATAGGTTTCCATCGAGATGATCAAAGGAACTCCATTTCTGTCACCCTCTCGTCACAAAATATTGTTACAATAGACAGACCAAACACCACAGCTGGCTTGGTGTCAGATCCAGATGTTGTCATGCCTGATGGCAATTGTAGTTGGCAATCTAACTTCGACAAATCAGGAGAGGTGGGTTCTTTGTTCTTGCTGATTGGTCTGTTGACTCAATTTGCCTGAAGCATACTTTTTGTAATTTCAGAATAGAGACATAATTCTTGGGTTGGAATTGTTAGATGATTTTCTTCCTCATGCTACGGCTGATATGGGTGAGAGAGATGCTCCTTTCTTTTGATGCTTTGTATATTCAGTGTTGATGCATATTATTTAGATGAATGCTCATAACAATACTTGCTGCAGAAACCATTGCAGAAGGTTCTACTCCTTCAGAGGCAGCATCAGCCGATGTCCCTAGCACCAAAAATGCAGGACTTCCAGTTCATTCCTCTATTGATGCTTCCACCTGTCCTCAACAGTCAGTGGTCCAAGATCCTTTAACTGGTGGGGAACCTATCATTTCAATTAGTTATGATGGTGATCACATGGACAATAGAGTGGTGGAAACAGAGGTGAGGATCTATATATTTTTAGACGCCCGGCTTTCTCCCTTCACCATGAAGTTGAATACTTATCAGTTGACTAATTTGAATTGTGGGAGTTGGTCAATTGCAGGAGATGGATATCATGGATACTCAAGTTTTGTCTGACTTAGCAACTAGTTTTGGTACATATACAACTGTTGTGTCTACATTGTAAATCTTGCTTATACGTTAATCTTTAAGCTTTGACCCAGCTCTCTGTGGCCAGGATGGTGCAGTAGAAAATTTCAACCAAAGCCGAAAATACAGATGCAGAATCAGATACATGAAGCCAGCACTACTTATGGATTGGAGTCTGCATCATGTCTACAAGATTCACAGTCAATTCCTTCTGAAATTAATTTTGGGGATAAATGCTCCAATCCTGCATTTTCACAGGATGATGTTCTGGATCTTTCAGCTATGGGATTCACTCATGCTATTCCCTCAGAATCTATGCCTGAACTTATTGCAGATGAGGATCCTATAAATCTCGTGGAGACGTCTCAGTTGAATTCTGGCTTCCCTGTTGACCATCCAGAGGTTGTTCCAGAAATGTCAGCGGAACTTGTAAACCCTTTAACTTCTGCAATTAGATAGCACACTTGTTTGCTTTACCGTGTTATCTGTTCCTTATGGTTTACTGATCCACCCTTTTTCTGAATATTATTTGGTTATTTATATATAGAGCCAAGCACGGACTAGAAAAGGTAAAACTCGCACATCAGTTCCTTCTCCAGAGCAGCAAAATGCTTCCACATCTGGCCAGAAGAATGAAGCTGGTAGATCTTTGAGGCCACGGAAAATTAAAAGAAATCTATTCCAGCTAGTAGATGAATTTGATGATGAGTTCCATGTTGATGGAGAATTTCCAGCTGAATGCCCTAGCAGTTCTGTTGCAGGTGAGGACAACATTTCTGGCAAGAAATTTCAAGTCGAAAATGAATCCCAGACAAAAAAGGTGAAGAGGAATTCTGTGAAGCCCCTTGGTGATAAAGAAAAACCAGCTGGAAAGTGGAAGAAGGCTAAGGAAACATCGGATCAGCCAGCGAAATCAAAACCTAAAATGTTATCTCACTCTACACTTAAGAGAAGACGAGGTATATGCAAGATCTGAGTGTTGAGAGCTGAAGCATATTTTGTTTCCTTATTAGGTGTTGACCATGAACCTTTTATGGTTTATAGTGGACAAATTTTTGCTTGAAACTCCTGAGGATGAGATTGACTTCCAAAAGGTGCCTCTTAGGGATTTAATTTTGCTTGCGGAGCAGCTGCAGGTATTTTCTGTGTGTGTTTTATAGCAGTAGCAGCCGTACTACCACCCATCACCACCACCATTATTACTATGCACAGTTACTTCCATTTCTGATATCTCTTGTTCACCATAATGCAGAAAAAAGAGGCAACAACTGAAGTACCCTCTACAAATCAGAGGTAATGAAATTTTCATTAATTATCCCATGTGTTCAACATATAGCTTTCCTCATCCTTGGTGCAATCATATCTTTTGTTATACTGTTACTAGGATATGCCAAATTGATACTTCCACTCTATGCCACCAAATTCCAAGCCAGTCCTCTTTGCATTTAGCACAAAAGTGTTTATGCAAGGAAGAATGTATGATATAATATGTTACAGAAAAAACATGTTCTCAATTCTATTTCAGGAACTGGTAGTAAGCAGAAAAGGACGCGCAAATGAAATGATTCTCACAGGTCCAGTGAAGATTAAGCCAATCGATCAATTTCTGGAGAAATTGTCCATGATAATGCAGTATAGTGTTTTACATGTTGGTTTTGTTAGCATAATTAAGCGTGTATAAGTAAGAAGATTGCATGTACAGCACCTTTGTTGAGACTGTAATTCATTGATTGAACGTGGTAATAGTCAAGAAAATATAAATTTCGAGTGATAACTTAGTTAATTGAATTCTTGAACGTGCAAGCAATATGTGTTTGATGTATGAAGTTCCTTTGATATTCTACTAACCATAAGTATGCATATTCAGTCAAAATAGCATCCTGATGTTTCTATGCCTGTCAATTCTTTGTGTCCACTTCTAAACAGGTTTTTCTTGTCTGCCATGCACATTTGACTATATTTTGGAACAAGATTTAGTGTCAGTAGCATAATGATATCTGATTTTGGATATTAGTTGTGCTGTGCAGTAATGTTAATCCCTCGGAGAACTATAATGAGGATGAGCCCTTTGTGTCTGAACAAGATGGAGAATATGACCGTGGACAAGAAAGTCATAGGGTTGAAGAAAGCAACATATACTTCAATTATCAGACTTACATGGACAGGACTCCCAGAGTAAGATGGTCAAAACAGGATACAGAGTTGTTCTACGAGGTATATTGTGTTGTTGTTTATTTATAATTGTAGGAGACGGGAGAAAGTAATGAAATAAGTCAATTGAACCTAAGGTCTTCAGCCCCATAACGAGTCTTAATTGCTATTGAGTACCTACTCGGCGATTGAAAAACTTACCGCCATTTCTGGCGTTGTAAATCAGTAAACTAAAATGCTTCCCCAACTTAGAAATTAGGAAGCTAAGGCTTCCTGGAAAAGAAAACACTTCCCACTTATCTTTTCTGATATAGACGGATTTTTACACATTGCTGTCTAGTTACGGAATCTCTCAATGCCCTTCGATAAATCTTTGTGGCATGAACTATGTCAATAGATCCAGAGAATCAACCATTGAATAAGTTAATTGCACCAAAGGTGGTCTTAAATTCGCCATAAGGGGTCTTAATTGCCTGCGACTGCCTCCTTTGTTATCATGTTGATAAATCAATTAGAGTTTTTTCACAGCTATTCATTTAAGCTCTTTTCGTTTTGTTTCATTATGTATACGTGTGATCTATACTGTAACCCTTCGAATTGTAGGCAATACGGCAGTTTGGGACAGACCTTTCTATGATACAACAACTTTTTCCTGGTCGTACCCGCAACCAAGTTAAGCTGAAATACAAAAAGGAAGAACGAAAGCATCCGATGAGGCTTCGTGAAGCCCTGACCACCCGTACTAAAGGTCCATTCATGTCCTACTTATATCCTTGCCTATGAGATTTCACAGTAAAACGAGTCTGTTTTTGTGTATTTCATGTCTTTTATGAGAGTAATTTATGTTGCAGATCATTCCCATTTTGAAAAGGTTATTGAGCATTTACAACAAATTGCTGCTGAGGAAAACCAGAACGGTAATAAAGACGACTCGATAGATTTGACTGTCAATGAAGATGCTGAGGAGGGAAGTCATGAAGCTAATGTATTGACCTTTCATATCTGTTATTTTCTTATTCCATTTAAAAACTGATGCCATTCATTTTTTTTACAGTCCAAGTATATGGGAAATCTGTGTCTTGTAATTTTCATGTCAAGAACCTGTATTTCTCAGGCCTGTGCACGTGCTGCGTCTTTCCTGTTCATGTCAATTTTAACCCCCCACATTGGTTTTTTGAATCAAAATCACATCCTTTAGTGATAAACCTTCTTGTTTTCTGGAACTTGACGATGCTTAACTGATACATTTTTAATGTTTTTTGTGCCGTGCAGAAGGGAGAACTGAAGACTGAACGTGGAGGAGGAGGAGGAGGAGAAAATGAGGATACGGCTCAAGAATTTACGGAAATTCAAAGTCCCATGAAGTCTTGTGATAGCGAAGATGATTTGTATCTATGTAGTCAATACAAGAGTGATATATGACAAGTATTGGCTATATTTTTCTGGTCTTAAATGTTACATAATGCAATTTTGTTTCTCTTCGCTTGTGGTTCTTGATGATTTGTAATCAAATGATCTTCGTACATTAGGTCCATATCAGGAGGAAATTCGAACTCCAGAAGCAGGCTGCTGAGGTGTTTATTCTCTCCTTTAACAGCAATTTTTATCAACACCACCTTTGCTCATCATTCTCCGTCTCCTGTGTGATGGTTGCAATGATCTGATGTTTACGCATTTTCTTTTTAAACATACCATGTTCCAATGGATTAGAGATTAGCTGTGTGTTCAAATCGATTTTGTGGAATTAATATTGACACGTCTCTGACATTCTTTCCTCAGCAAGACGGCTAGAGTCCGATTATACCTTAATGTTAGGACCTTTTACTCGCGACTGCTCTTCATGACTGCATAAGTACTCTGGTTGATATTGTGTTGTCGTTTGTTCTTTTACAGATGCAGATTCCCATTCCCCCGAGATGGAGTCTGCCTTACTTCAGCAAGCAGCAACAAGAAGTTATTCAGCTCCAAACATACTCTTAATTGAAATGCGATGTAAAAAATAAAATTTGTAGTGCAAATAATTAATAAACCTTGAAAATGTAGTTGATTATAGTGAAAATAAGGAATAGACAATTGTGCACAGATACAACGAAAGAATGCCCTGGATGTAGTCACCATCACACAATGTCCTGTTTTGAACGGTAAATTTTCTCGTCCTACCTCTAATTCTCCAAGCACCTCCTAAAATTTTCATTTAATTTAATTAAAAACAATAATAATAGAAAAAGTAATTATTTAAACGGGATAGTGGAGCTGGATTTTATATTTCTGCCTTTCCAGAATCCCCAATTTTACAGAATGGTAATAGCCGCTCCACTCCACCCTACCTTGTTGTATAGTACTAGGTAGGGATGGAGAAAATCAATTCGAACCAGTCAAATCGATCAGCTCAAACCAAACGGTTTGGATTGGTTTTTTAGTTTATTGAGTTGGGTTGGAGTAGGAAATCGAATTTTAGGTCGGGTTAAGTTGGATTTCGGGTTATTTATTAAAATCCAACTCAATTCAGTCCAATGAATTAAAAAATATATATAAAAAAAATTAGTACCCATAACCTAAAATCTAATGATCAAAATTCTTATCTGCCTCACGTCTCTTCCGCCTCTCATTGTTGCCCGTGTCTCAACTCGATTTTTTAACGTGATTTTTTTACTAAATACTTAGATTGAAGGTGGAAATTTTTATCGAGTTTGGATCTTTTAACATTTTTAGTATTTATGTGAATTTATTTTATTCAATAAGTATAATATGCAAATATTCAACATGTATATAGATTGATTTAATATTTAATTTGATTGTGATATAATTTATTTAACACGGTTTACAATATTTTTAATTTATATTGTTCTATTGGAATAGAATTTAACTCCATGGACCATTGATCTAACTTTAATCGACTTAAGACCTTTTAAATCACCATTTTTAATGTAACTAAAATTGGTTTAAATTGAAATAGTATCAAAATTTAAAAAAATTGTTCAAATTCAACGAAAAAAATCTCAACCAATGGGACCATAAAAAATTGTCCAACTTGAATTGGACTCAAGTCCAAACTAATCAACACCGCTCAAACCAATCTATTGTTCAAATTCAACGAAAAATATCACAACCATGGGGCCATAAAAAGATTATCCAACTTGAATTAGACTTAAGTTCAAACCAGTCAACCCAAACCAACTCGAGTTTGATCGGTTTGGATTGGGTTGTGTTTCAACCGTGAATGGGTTGATTTCGGTTTGAATTATTGTCAAATCGAAACATGTTGGGTTGTGTTTGGTTAGAACTCAAAATCAATCCAATCGAATCTACGCCTAGCCCTAATATTAGGTATGTAGAAAATATAATTATTATCGTGCTATGTTTAAAACTAAATATTCTTCTTAGTTCTTTTTGTATCAAAAATTTAAGATTAATTTCAATTCACCGTTTTTTAAACGAGAAATTGAAGTTAAAAAGAGGACAAATAAGAAAATGATATGAAAAATTCATTCTAATGTGGGTGGTTTTTATAATTTTTAAAATATGAGGGGGTCTCTTGTAATTTAATCTTGAGATAAAATAGAAATCGCCAAACAAACAAAACGAAAATTACTTGTTTGGAACCTCGTTGAAATCTTGTGGATAAGTTTGGTAAAAATACATTGACGCTCGTAAGTTAAAACAAATTCGATGTTTAAATAATTATGCGTTTGTGAATTTCGATGTCAAAATCAGTAGTTGTTTTATCCTTGACAATTTCGGTGAAGTAGAGAGTGCTGTTATGTTTCTGTTGTATTTTTGGGTTTTTCTTTTTAAATTTAAAACCCTAGTCTAAAATCTGTAAATATTGACACATCAAAATTCTGAAAGTTACAATTCTTGTAAGATTTTTTGGCGCTTCTTCGTCGTATAATTCGAAGTGAGCTTTTGCAATTGAACTGATGAATTTTATAGCATTGAAACCTATTAAAGTATAATTTTCTTTTTATTTTATTTTAAGATGATAATCCTGAGGGTTGCTCAATTGGTCAGACTTTGGATTTGCTCCCCAATGGTTATCGGTTCGAGTATCCTGAGGGTGACTGAGTTGATTATCTGGCCGTAAACTTTAGGGCGTCGTGGAATTAGTCGAGGTGCGCGCAAGCTGGCCGGACATACACGGTTATCAAAAAAAAAAAAAAATTATTTTAAGATGATATTTGCTCCGTTTTTTCTGTTGGCTTTCAATGAATTGTTGGCCACATGCTCACTAAGACTCGTAAAAAACAAGAATACTATATATCGGGTGCTGGGTTCATGTCGTTCAATTCCACGCGGTCTTCATGTTATCAATGAACAAATTAATTGTCAGAAAATGACAAATTATGAACACTGATGTGGAGGTTGTTTGACTATAGAATATTGGTCCTGGAAATTGTTGCCTTCTATTTTTCAAGGCGCTTTGTGGTTTTTGGTAGAATTAGGAGTCTAAAATCTCGCTTTGCTAACCATGTGATGCATGTATTATAAGTTAGAATTGACAATTTATTAGTTGAATGATAAAATATATAGTTTTTTCATGTGGTCTCATTGCTACCCGTTTGTGAGGTTTGATAAGAAATACTAGTTTATATTACGAGGAACTGTTTTTACTCTCTGTTTGTGTAATCAACTGTTCATTTGTGTATTCTGAGAGATTCCTCTCGTGCTATGTTCCTTGGAAATGAGATATTATCTCTTTCTTGCAAATGTTCTCTTGTTTGATTGAGAATTGTGTGATTTAGAGCATACTACTGCATTCTGAAGTTGAGGGAAGCTCATGTTGAATATTTGAACAAATCTTGCCAGTAGCATGGTCATGGTGGATGTTGGTAAAGGGCAATTTAATTAGGCAAAGGGCGCTTCATCCCCATCCTCGTACCCCCAAAAGAAATCATCAGTGTAAATGATGTTGAAGTATTTTTATTATTTTACTGGATTCCACTATTGCAGCCTTACGGAGTCTCCCCTGTACCAATACCATGGCCCATCGGCCAAAAAAAATGTTAATTGAGATATTATTTAAAAGGCCTCGATATGGTTTAAGCGCACACATGTATATATATATTTTGTAAAATATTTGAAACTTGAGGGGATTTTCACGGTGTCATGGTAATCCAACATTCTACTAGTTCGTTTCAACTAGTAGTCTGCTTGCATTGACTGCACATTTTTTAAAAATTGCAGTATATGAATGAATTTTTTCTGTTATTACATTCTTCTTATTATTTACACTGGCACACTTAACAGGTGCTTTTGTAAATTTTTTTTTTTTTGCCCTGTCGTCTCCACGTGAATAGTATTGTTTGGTGAACAATATCATAATCGTCGAGCAACATTCTTTTTTTTCGATTTTGATTGTGGTTACTAATAGAACCTGCTTGTTCTTATAAAAAATTAGTTGTGTAGCTAAATATGTACAATTGTTTTTACTGAAATCTGAAGTTCTTCGTTTATTGCAGGTCTATTTCTGTGTTGACTATGTCCCATCATTATGTTGGTTATGCGGAGATTGTACATGAAATGGAAGATATAGACAATGATATGGATGACGAGTCCCAAGGCAGAGATTTTAGTGGCTCAGAATCTGACTTGGATGAATATGACTACATGGTTTGTTCAAAAGTTTTATGTGCAAATTAATCTTTTATGTCCATCTCAAGCTATCTAAGTAAATTATTGCTTTACATGATTCTTCTATCGTTCGAATTTATCAAGTTGTTTGCTAACTGTTTTCTACCTTGTATGTTTGACAGAATAATAGAATGCAAGATATTTCTGCTGCTCAAGTAAGGAGTGGCAGAGATATCCAAGGGATTCCCTGGGGAAGTCTTGGCATAACAAGGGAGAGGTATAGGAAGACTAGATTAGAACATTACAATAATTATGAAAACATACCTCAGTCTGGAGAGGGATTGGAGAAGGTATATAGTTATGTTGTTCAATAATTCCTCCCACTATTTCATCTCTGTTTTTCTTAGTCTTTTTGTGCTCATTATCTGCTTTTTTTTTAAATGCCTTCTCCTTTTGTATATAGGAATGCAAAATCACAAAGAAAGGGAGTTCATATTATGAATTCAGACACAATTCAACATCCGTGAAGTCAACAATTTTGCATCTCCAGGTCGGTTAACAAGTTTTTAGCAGTGAAGTTACTTATCTGGTGATTAGATTTTACTTTATCCCTTTATATATTTTTCTTTGGTGGATATGTTAAATTGGATTTTTAATGGTCAGAAGTAATTCTCCCTCTCAATTCTTTAACTAGTGCAATACGATGATGGCTCAATAGATTTTCCGTCTGTAATTCGTATCATCAAACTTTAGTGACATATTTTTCATCTGTTGAATGTTACTCAAGATATATTGAAGGGAACAAGAGAAAGTACGGGTGATGAGTAGATTAATTTCAACTAATAACTCGTATCCAGGCATAGAATAACTGATGTCTACATTTTATGACATGCATAAACAGGAAAAAAAGTTGCACTGGAGTAATGTGTGAAAGATCCTGTTTTATGTCTAATTTTTGTTGAGTTATATCACACAATGTCTCGGACAGTCAAAATTTCTTTCTAGCTACAAAAAAAATGCACATGTGTGTTGGGGGTGGGGGAAGAAAAGAAATGGTCAGCATACCTGCGCAAAGTCTTATTAACTATTAGACAGATCTTAATGCCCAGTTCAACTAAGGGAGTAGATGAAAGGCTTGATTGTTTTTTCCTTTTTGTTTGGTGTTTTGTCCCTTTTGTTCTAAATTCTAATTTTATATATTATTTGAGCTATTGTTTGCTTTTGAGCTTGGTAACTGACTATGAGTTCGTTGCTTGATGATGCAGTTGAGAAACTTGGTATGGCCTACATCAAAGCATGATGTGTACTTTATGTCACAGTCCTCGGTTATGCATTGGTCATCCTTAACTTGCAAGAAGTCTGAAGTTCTTAATGTATCAGGACATGTAGCACCTTCTACGGTGAGTGATATTGGTGGTTGCATTTTGTGTATGTATGTTATAATTCTTTATGATGACAATCCCCCTCACTCCCTCCCCAACTAAAGAACGGCTGGAAAAAAAAAATGTAAACAAATTTATGGAGTTCCTGCCGGTCCAATATAAGTTGTCTAATTTCTGCCCCAATGCAGACATATCCTGGAAGCCTATTGGATGGATTTACAAAGATCCAGGTCAGCACACTAGCAGTTAAAGATAATCTGCTGGTTGTTGGAGGATTTCAGGGAGAATTAATCTGCAAGGTCTATATTATTTTTCCCAGTTTTTATATTTATAAATCAGTGTTCCAACAATTTATTTTTATTGGCATCGCCAACATGTACAGCCTTTCCTTTTGTTCTTGAAGGTCTTCATTTGTGGTAGTTTTTTTATTAGCATGATGAGTTTAAGGATTTATTGAAACAAACTAGCTATCTGTTTAACTTCCCTTGCATTAGAATGGCCAGGTTATGCAACTATGCAAGTGAGTATTTACTTTCATCTATCAAAATAAGCTAGTAATTTTGGAATAGCCAGGCTATGCAATGTGCTGACTCCTCACTCGGTGCTGCTTTTTGTCATTTTTGTTTAAATCTACTTTCTGATGCACTGCAAGTGTCGAAAATGAGATCAACACTAAATCGAATCTCCTTGGTTCCATGAAAAGTGAGAAAAGATTGAACATTGGAAAAAAAAGTCCAAGTTTTGTAAAATATATCAAGCAAGCAAAGAAAAACGACAGTGTTTTGTAGCATTTAAAATACCCTCACAATATGAGAAAAAAACCCTACACTATAATTAATACCCTTAATTAATTAAATGAGAAAATTAGAAAATAACATAGATGGCAAAATTAAATTAAAAGCAATTGTAAGTGCCCCCAAGCTCCTACTAGCATCTGCTCCTTGGTGCATCTTGGGGGCTCTAAATGATTCCAAGAAATTATCGACCAGCCTTCGGTTGCATCACTTTCAGCTTTTTGTTCTATTACGACTTTACTATTTTCCCATTTTTGTAATGATAATATTGGTTTGAAGATGATTTAAACCCTGAAGAATCTTATACTTGAGAGTTTGGTATATATTTCCGTATCCAGTTTCCTCTTTTAGCTGTCCGAGCACAAAAGTGCTTTGCATAAAGTTGAACCCTTTTTACTGAAGTGTTCAGATCCACTTATATGGTTGCAGTATTTAGACAGGCCTGGTATTTGTTTCAGCACTCGGACAACTGATGATGATAATGCCATCACTAATGCTGTTGAAATATATACATCTAGCAGGTATCTGTTCATCTCTTATCATCGTTGCCGATGTACATATTTGTTGTTGGAAATCTCCCTAAGCATTCTTATTTCCTTTTCAGTGGCGCAATTCATTTTATAGCTTCAGCTAATGACTGTGGAGTTAGAGATTTTGATATGGAAACCTTGAAGTCCAAACTTACTTATTTCCCTTGGCCAGTCAATGTGAGCTTCTCTCTCTGAGCAGAAAGTAAATTCTCAATGATGGATATGGAAGGCATGAATTGCATTTATATTTGAATAGTTTAAGAGTCTTTAGAGCCACAGTCCATTTCATTTTTCTCTAAGCACCTGCCTTGTCTTTATTTTTGAATAGCGAATATAATATGCATCTGAATGAGCTAGAATTTACAGTTTTAGGGTAATCCAGAAGAATATGCTCATAGAAAGTTCAAACTTTTTAACTTGAGCATCTTTTTTAACAAGGTGTGTGCACGCCTTTGTTTGGGGGAATCAGGTGCACGTTTAGCAAGAGAGAATTCTCCCGCAAACGAACCCTTGAGGAATTAAAGAAATTTCACTTTTTGATACCTTTGTATGATCATATTTGCTAAATTGCATTTTACATGTGTAGTTTTGTACTTTAATGACATTCACTGGATATTTCACTGGCAGCATACATCTCTTTGTCCCAATTCGAAGCTTCTCATAATTGTTGGAGATGATCCGGACGGTATGTTGGTGGACTCCAGTAGTGCAAAGGTATATCACTTCTTTTCTTCGAGAGGTGAGTAGGGAATGGAGGAAGCCTTTAGTTCCGGACTAAAATTTGATGATAATCTACAGATAATCGCTCGTTTGCGTGGGCATAAGGACCACTCATTTGCATCAGCATGGCATCCTGATGGTGTGACATTTGCTACTGGGAACCAGGATAAAACCTGTCGGATTTGGGATACTCGAAACCTGTCCAGATCGATCGCTACTTTGAAGGGTAATCTTGGAGCTATCCGTTCTATTCGCTACACTTTTGATGGTAGATTCATGGCAATGGCAGAGGCTGCGGATTTTGTCCATGTTTTTGACACTAAAAGTGGGTACGAGGAGGAGCAGGAAATCAATTTCTTTGGTGAGATATCTGGCATGTCATTCAGTCCCGATACAGAATCCCTTTTCATTGGAGTATGGGATCGAACTTATGGTAGCCTCCTCGAATATGGTCGGAGTCGAGATTACTCGTACATCGATGCCATTATCTAGCTCGGTTTTGTGATCGGCAAATAAGTGTGAGGATAGTACTCTTTTTTCATGAAATAGTGGTAGTGTAAACCAGTAGTGCAATCTTCAACCTGTGTTTAGTTGTAAGATGAAGCCTTTTCTGGTGTATGCTAGTTTCGATTTGTTTGATAAGATGATCGTAGTGTTGGACACTATTAAGAAAGAAAAAAGAATGTCCAAATATAGCTTACGTCAAGTATTATGCATTAGATGTGCCATTAAGGTGTCATAAATCGTAAGAGAGGGGTAGTATGTGCCTATGTGGTGAGAAAGTATAGCCAGTGAGTCTCGATTCATTTTACCAGCCTGTCATCCTCTTAAGCAACTTTTGAATGGTTTTTGCTTTCACTACCGTGTTCGAAGTAGTAAAAATGATGAACAAAACGAGCGCGAGGCACGGAATATTATTGTGATTATACTGGATAAACAAAGAAGGAAAACTTTTCTAGCGGGGATTGGGTCAAGCTTGCTCAAGTTCAAAGTTAAAAATTAAATCGTTTATAGGTTGACAAAATGCAAATAATGCAATAGACAATGTAAAAAGAGTCGTGTTAGATATGTAAACTTTGGTTTACACTCGTGTGTGTGTCGACAGATTTGGGAACGCTGATTTTAAAACCCTTTTTCAATCAATGATTAGATTTTTAACACATAGGAAGTCTCAACCAAAGTCTACACATTTGGGAATACAAGTCTTATTCATTAAAAAATAAATGAAATATATCATAAAATTTCGTTTCAGGAGGGGCAAAAAAGGTATTAACTATTGGAAAATTCACACCTAAGGTCTCCAAAATTTACCTTCTATTAAGTTGAAACAAAGGCTTTAATTGAAGCTCTTTCAAAATCCTAATGGTAGGTGAAGCAAAAGATAATTAAGGTACATAGAGCAATGTTAAAATGAATGAGATCTTTTCAAACAGAAAAAAATCAACAAAATTTTGTAAGATACACTTCATATAATCTTTACAATATTAATGAACACAGAAATTTCGCTCTACACAAACCCATTGGGTCTTTCTCCATTCTTAGCAGACCTTTTCTGTACATCTGCATCATAATGTGCAAAGGCAGCATCTAAAGCCTGCATTGCAAGTTTTTATATGTAATCTGTGGCTGCTGAAATATAGACTTGTGATTAAGGCCTGCATAAATGAAACGTGTTATGAATTAATTGAGAGTTAGCATTAAAAACCTGAAGCATTGGATGGACAAGCAAGGAAACTTGATGCCGGAAATCTGATTGCACAGATTCCTTAATTTCCTGAAATTTATAAAAAGATGCAAGATATATTATACACGCAAGTAAGCAACCCAGTGTACGAGAAACAATAGTACATATCCCCGATAACAAAAGATACCTGTAGCTTTGGATACACTTGCGACATGGCATCTTTCAATCTGGTTACCTGTGAATGAGTAAACTGTTTAAGATGCTCAATAAGAATATGAAGTAGCGTTTCAAATGGAGGATTGCCTTGATATACTCTGGCCAGCAATATTTACAATGTAATTAGCAATTTTATGCAATTTCTGTATTGAAGATCAATAGAGGTCGCCAAGCAGGGTGGAAATTTTTTTCTGAAAACTGAATTTTTGTCAAAGGTTCAAGTGTTGCTTACTGTTATCTTTTTCAAACATGAAAAAAAATAGCACAATTACCTTCGTATAAAGATACTTTGTTGTAATTGGATATGATGACCAGAAATGTTTCAATAATTCCTGGATAGACGTCCAATGCTACAAAATAACAAACTACATTTAGGAAATATCATTAAAGAGTAACATACCAGAAATAACAATGAAAGCACTACATGTTAGATCAAGTACTTGTGTGCACTCACATGTAAGAGATCCTCTCTAGTAACTTTTGGCAAACTATCCAATACGCTCTCATGTGGGTTCTTTCCAAGATGGTATTTGGTGCTTGATATATTCTGGGTCAAGCTGCTGAGAACCTATATAATAATAGTTAGCAGTTTTGTTTCCTGAATCAACATTCACATGCCCACAAACATCTTTTCAAGAAAACTACATCATTAGAAGTTTATACCCACACACATTATACATGTGAAGATGTAATACCGTAAAAGGAACTTCTGGATTTGTGATTGGTTCACTCAACCCCGTGACTCTAATCTCAGATACAAGTTCCTTTAAAGAACCATAAGCTTCAAGCGGGTTTACATTACATTTTAATGTCTTTGCACCAGAACCAGTATCTCCTAATGCATTAGCTTGCTGAGAATCGAAGTAGTCCCTAGGATCCTGTTTAAAAAGTAAGACATTAGATAATCAACAGCATTGTTTTTCTTTTTAAATTTTTCTGGGTGTCACTTTATCAACAAACTTAGATGACGTATATTATCAATATACCATTGCAACTTGCAAGTAATAAATAAATGTAATGCTCAAACCTTAATACAGAGGGGAGCAACTGCAGGGTCTCGAGGTCCCTGAAGATCATCCATCTCGGCAATTCGAGAGATCCTGTACGAGAGATCTTTTTTTGAATTCCCTTCAGATGCTTCATTAGCCAACTCAGCTGCAAAGATACTAGAAAATATCAGTTGCTCTATCTTTTTAGTTTCACAAGTAAAATAATAGCATACATATTGCCATTAGTGAGGGAAAGAAGCTCTCCTCTTAAGTCTCTAACCTTGTTTTGTCTGGGAAAGTGCTTCAGCCACAGACCTTGTGTCTCCAAGCTCAACATCTATTCTCAGATTGTAAAAACAAAAACAAAAGCCATTAGGCTGTCATACATTTCACTTATGCCATAAATATTTGTGTTAAAAATAATTCTCAAGCAATCCTCAAGCTATTAACAAGTATAAATAATTAAATATTTTTATTTTTATTTTTTGCGCCAGCCTACATTGTTTAACAAGGGATGGAGACTGAAATTGCAATAGAAGTCAATTGAGAACCTGCTTTTCTTAGATTATTTCTTACAAATGTGAGACTAGATAGATAACTTATGTATCAAACATGTATAGCAGAGAATTAAAAGTCGGGAAGGAGGTAATGAATAAAGCATCACCATCTGCCACATACAATTACACCTCCACCCCCCCCACCCCCACGCAAACACATGTGCTCGTGAACATGAACATCTAAATGCAAGCAACAGACATGTAAGACTAGCATGTTGAGACTTTGACATTCAGCACGAATTACAAGACCACTAACCAACATCACAACTCCCATCCCGTGACATAAACAAGCTAATCTGCTCTCTGTTACAAGCAATGAAAAAGGAAAGAAGATTGGAAAAAATAGACCACCAAGCCACACACAGAATGGTGTCTGAATAGCGTGAACTCTTCATTGGAGTATCACAAGTCAGCTTTGACAGATAATCTCAAACCCCTAGAAGGCATCATGTAGAGACTGTACTCTTCTAAACAAAATTAATTTGTCAACAAAATGTATCACTTCTTCAAACAGAAAAGTTTCAGCTATTTGATAAATATGCCTTAAAAGGCTTACAGAATGACCAACCTACAACTCTTCCTTGAAGCACAACTGCAGCATGTTGGTTGAGATCTTGCGAGAAATGTCTTCTGTATGGCTCATATTGCGATTCTAAAACATCCTTGCTCTCTTCACGAAGTAACCCATGATCCTATATGCCACAGAAGCATAACTTTATGTGAACAAAAAATGCAATCAAATATAAGACCCTGTGAATCAATGTGATGTTTTCCCAAGAGCAGTTCAAGGCTACGATATCCAAAAAGGGAATGGAGACAAAATCACAAAGAATAACATGTCATTAACACCAACGATGTATAAACATAAACACATTAGTTGAATTCTACTTATTCTCGCTCTGTATTATAATAATAAATATCAAGAACAAAGTGAATGAATCTAGCAATATTTGTTAATGAACCCAAAAATAATAGACTGCAGAATATAGATGACCAAATGTACCGGGAGATGTAAGTAGTCATCGCCTACATCGGCTTCCATGTCCAAAGTTGGATCAACACGCCTGATCTGGAAGAAGAAATGACGTGGAAAACAATTTCAAAATTCCAGTGTGAGAAGTTCAACATGTGGAAAATAATAAGTGCACACTTCAAGTGTAAATCACCTTTCTACGAGCTTCATTTGCCAACATGTCATCTTGCTTCAGAAAAACGGCAAGCTCCTCATCTTCAGCAGCCTCAGCTGCAGCAGCAACTACATTTTTTGTACTGTGAAGATATTCCGCTCTTGAATATTTGGTCCAAAATTCCTTTTCTGACATCTGTATTACAAACATTTCATTGTCAGGGATTTCTAATGGTTATGGAAGTTCTTTTAGACAATATCCAATGGCACATAATTCTTTGAGGTTCCAACAAGTAACAGTATACCTTATATTTAATGATGTAGTATGCATCTAAATACTATCCTTCAAGTGATCGCACTTCAATATAGATTTAAATGTCGAAAGATGATACTTAGAAGTTTATAATATATTTAGTTTCAATAAATATCTTTCATGTTATTATATACCCTTAAAACAAATATCCTATCTTGATAAAACCAAAGTGACTTCACTAAACTCATTGTTTTCTTCAAAATAAAAAATAAAATAATAATAATAATAAATCACAGTTTTCGCGTACTGTGAACACTTGCAGAACCCATTCTTACTATTTAAGTGACAAAAAACTATATATAGTGGCTTTCCAACATAGAGAACATTGTCTTTCAAGGTTCAACCACATGGATTAAGAAACGGGGGTGTAATTGTACAATTTCAAAATCGTGTGGGGCCAACTACCATTTATTTAAATATCAGGGAGTTTGTTTGATTTTTTATTACCATTGCTCCAACAAGCAACTATTTTCGCTCAGTAAGTGACGGGAAAAAGGTTTAAGGAAATTATCCAAAGCCTAATGGAACCCAGTATGAAGCACTAAAATATCAAGGAATCCAACTGAAAATTACTAATGGAAAATAAAAATAATATTGATAATCATCC